AGCACGACATGGCTACAAACGATGGGGTGCCCGTGAAGAGCTCAGACAGAGAGTGGTTATTTACACAGACTGCTGGTAGAACACAGGAGGTGGTAATTTCAGAAAGAGCCATGCCTGTATTCATCAGATTCGAGTAATTTGAACCAGTAAGACCAACCAGTAGAGAACCTCTCCATAGTTCCCTTCATTGAGCTAGGACGATCCTCCATGTGTTTAATGTCATTAACCTGCAGAAGCCATTGTCGTACAGTAAGGGGTGAAGACTCTTTCCACAAAAAAGGGATACAGGCCCCCGCCACATTCATTAAGTACATAAGGATAGAGCGTTTATAGCCCTTCAGAGAAAGCCGATTATGGTGAAGCAGGAAAAGGCAGGATCTAACGGAATTGGGTGGTCTGTACATTTTTGCCTAATAGCTCTCATGCTGATTCCAAAAATTTGTAAGCAATGGACAGGACCAAAACACGTGAAGCATGTCTTAATTATATCTATTTAAACTTCTTTCTAAGAGTCCATCTTTCTTCTCTTGGCCTCAGACATGTATTCTGCCGAGGTTAACCTTGATGGTGCTTAGAGAGTTTTATTATATATTTCAGTACATTTGATCATTATTTGTGGGTTTTCTTTGGTCTCTTGTTTCTTGTACAGTTTTGTATTTTTAAAAACACAATAAAGATTTGATTTAAAAAAAAAATGTAAATAAAAAAAAATATATATGGTGGTAGGGGATGGGAGCATGGTAAAACTGGGATTGGCCTGACCCTAGCTAATTTTTGTTTTGTTTTGGATATAATAGGGAAGATTGAAGACATCTGTCACATTGCAATGCTGTATGTGTCCCAATTTTGGAGATTGTTCCTCTGTGGGAACCCAAAAAACATTTAAAACCAATCATTACCTGGTCTATCCAAAACTATAGAAAAGGTTTTGTCTGGAGTAGTGGCATGGGGGTCGGTGGAAGAAACCACTGAGCACAGCAGGGAAACCAAGAGAAAATGTGGAGCACAGCGGGGAAACCAACACTTCTGAAAATGTTGGTTTGGTAACAGACTTCAGAGGAAGATTTCTCTTCAACATATTGAACAGCGCTGTGCAAACTGTTGGCGCTATATAATTCCTGTATAGTAATAACAGGGCAGCATTTGGGAACCTGTTATTCGAGTGATATGGTACCCGCCATATGCTTGAAAGTCAGGTTTAGTGTGACAATCTTCAAGCCTGCAAATTCAAAAACAAAATCCACAATGGCAGCTCCCATATTTTTGTCCTCATGGGTTAACATTTACTCTTCAGGTCGTTAACTGCTGGGGCCATTGCAGGGGGTGATGTTCTTCTGGGTGGATGTTTGCTTTATTTAATAATATGAAGAATTAAAAAAACTCTTCAAGTAAGTAGAAACAAGCGGAGGGGAACACGCAGTGAATCAACTGGGGCAGGAACAGAGCAAGGAACAACAGCAGAGATATCTCATGACTGGATTTCTCTAGAGGATTCAGAAGCTATAGAGAGAGATTCATCCCACCAGGATGAACCTGAAAGTAAAAAAAACTTATTTTTCGCAGCATAAGACGCACTTTTTTCCACCCAAAAGTCAGGGGAAAATGTGTGTGCATCTTATGGAGCGAATACCTATCGCCCGTAGCCCCGGACATGCAGTTTCGGGCGCCGGGCGAGTAGTTTTTTTTGTACATTCAGCCCTGCTCCAGCCAAGCAGAGCTGAATGTACAGTGGGAGCCGCTGCTCGTTTAATACAAGTGATCTAATTAGATCACTTGTATTAAATCGAGCAGCGGCGATCGTGTCCGCCCCCGCCGTGGTTTTTGGGGTACCCCGCTCCTCTGGGGGACTGTGACCACGGCATAGGAGCTCACCATAGAGCCCCTTGAGCAGACGAAGAATGTCGTTATTCGTCTGCTCTGATTACTGAGGCCGTGGAGCTGTAATCACAGCGCCACATGTCTCAGCGGTCACTGAACTGCAGCTTCTGTCACAGAATCACAGAATGTCTGCGTCCTATTGACCGGAGCGCCTTATAGAGCGCAAAATACGGTAATTCTGTGTGGCCTGATCCTTTAATAAGCTCTTATTTTACAGCATTGTTTTCCCTGCCAGCCTGTCCAGCCAAATTACTTGCCCTAAACTATACTGCCAAAAGTAAGTAGACACCCCTCAAAATTAATAATATCCAGTAAGGGTACCGTATTTGCACGCAAAGACATTTAAACAATTGTGCAAATCCAGTTTTGTGGGAACATTTTGGTGCAGGTGCATTTCTGTCCCTGTATGACTGTACCCCTGAATGTGAACATATAGCATATGTTTAAACTCTTCATAAGACAAAAACTTGAGAAGTTTATTGATCATCATAAATAATATTGTGGAGATTCAGCCGTTGCACCTCTTCAGCTCAACAGGTTATTCAGCTAGAAGAGGAGTCGCAGACAGCTAATGAAAACTCAATGTGCTAATACAAAACAGAAGGATGGGTTCTGCAGACAAGAGAGACCCATTGCTCAGATACAGATGTGCGTCCCTGGCACTCCAGCGATGAGTGCAGGCCCTCCCGCACGGCTCGTCTCCACCTCTAAGTAACAAACGAACTAAAAAGGAAAAAAGAAAGACGCACTTTAAATCTCTTGGCCGCTGTATACTTTTATTAATCCGCCAGGTACAAAGCCGACACCCTGAGCTCCCATTCAACACTGAGGTTGAGAGATTTGGAGTGCAGCTCTTTTTCCTTTTGTTCGTGTGTTACTGAGAAGGATGGGCCCACTTAACCTGAAAACCTCTCTGCACTTACTAATTAAGCCTTGAAAAAAAATGTTTGTTTATTCACTGAAATTTCCTCTTCTCTAATGCGCTGATGCAAGAGCGGAGAGAAAATGATAGCTCCAAGCAGAATAAAATGTGTGGAAGATTAAATGTTATCATTCCAGCTCAACAAAATCACATTTTAGCTTATTTGTTTTTCTCCACGTGACATTCTAAACTGAGAGTTTGATAGATTAATGGTTTTCCATATCATGAAAACAGGTCTGATGACACAAACTCCTCAGGTCAGGCATATGGATGGGGAGGGTTGCAAGCCCTATTGGGCTCAGGGTGCACAATAATGTATTTGTGACAGACCCCAGTACTCAGGATGATTATGTCCGCCGCTGTATTCTTCCTTGCTCAGGGCATGCTGCAACCTGCTGATATTTAGCTACCAGTTTCCCCAGTTGGGACCCGAGTGTAGGGTGAAAGAAACTGATTTATTGAGCAACTGTACAACCTTTTATACAGAAAGTGATCAGATAAGATTATAATCCCCAATAATATAATGCTAAAGAGCCCCAGACAGCCATAGCAGGAGTGTGGCCAGACGCAGGAGAATGTCATTGTCCTGAGCTCCTTGGAGCAAAAAGGGAGCTAACGAGGGGTGGTGCCTACAGTCTTTTGATAAACAGGTTACACAGTATAACATACTTAAACATAACCCAACACCAATACACATTGAACCCATAAACTGATGACCATTTCGTCACGGTATTCATCCCAGCCATTCAGAAAGCTTGGCCAGGGTTGCAGGGGGGTACAATGCCATAAACCACTGGGATTGGGGGAACGTTTTCGAATACCTGTAGACACAATAAGATGGAAAAGCCTGTTTACTTATGTCATGGCGGGCCTTCTTTCACATTTCTATGGAACAGGTCCTTCAACAATAGATGTCCTTTACATCGAGTGCTCCTTTGGGTTCAACCCGTCTAGTGAATTATGTACATATGTTATACCTCCTGAAAAATAGCAGTGTGATTCCTGCTATGCGAGTGTGCCTAAGCACTTTCCTACTTGTAGCTTCATAGCGGTGTATCTGCAGAACCAGATCTAAGGCAATGCTACCTCTAATTGCTAAAAGATTTAGAGTTATATTTGGCAACTACCGCATTGCTCAGAGTCTCCTTGCTGGAGACTCTGGCAGGAGAAAGCAAAATCCTGCCTCTAGCAAGATGGCCATCGCAAAACACAGAGAAACAGTGCAGAACGAGACATGGTAAGCCAATATTGGGGAAAGATCTGCTGCTAGGAGAGCAAATGAAATACTGCTGACTGGTCCTTTGCTCTCTGTCTCTATTTTGAGCAAAGCTTCCAGAGTTCAGTTCCTCCTTAAAGTCCCACCAGGGCTAATTTGTGAGAAAACAAAATAGCCGAATTTTGTATTGGATGTTTATTTT